TAGGGAAAGGGGGGTTTGAAGTGTGTCAGCAGGCGTTATTATTGTGGTGTTGAGGGATTGGAGGCGGGTAGGGCAGGGTTTAGATTAGTACCGGGGGGGGGGGGGGTCCAGGCGGTGGTGTTTCGTGCCCCAAGTACAAGGTGTGTCGGTGGCAGGGGGGGTTGTGGCTTGAAAATGTGTATTTGGTCGGCTCCGAATTTCAGGCGGAGGGGATAAATTTATGCCCCCAGAGATTTGGAGCAATACCACGTGCATGCATGTTTTATTTTGCCATGCGAGGGTAGGTCGTGTCACACGGCGGCCAAGAGAACGCTTTTTCCACGCGAACTTGCCCCCACAAGCCCCCTGCTGCACTCACCCGTCCCATCCCTCCCACCCCCCGCGGCGACCGATGCCAGGCGGAAGACGTAGGCATCATCACTCCGTACTCTGCCCAGGTCAGGCTTCTCCAAGATGTCGTCGGGACCTCCCGCCGATCAGCAGCAGCAGCGGCGGCGGCGGCGACGGCGACGGCTGAGTCGAGAAGAGGGGGAGAGTGGGTGCGGCAGGATGAGGGGGGCGCGTATTACGGTGGGAACGGCGGCGCCGGCGGGGGGGCAGGCGGGAAGGGGAGGAGGGGCGGCAGGAAGCGGGGGGGCGTCGGTCTGCCGGAGATAGCGTCCGTGGACGGTTACCAGGGACGGGAGAAGGAGGTGAGAACAACGTTAACCTTTGCCCTTTTTTTGTTGGTCCTCAATTTTTTTTTATTTTTCGTCGTCCTGGGGAGTACGAGATGTCTGCTAGCAGGGTTGGCGGTTTTTGGTTGGTGTGGCCGTGTGTGTGTCATGGCGATGTCGGTACATGCGTGTGTTATGTTTTTTTAGAAATACAGTAGTTACAGTCATCACAGAAAGACTACACGTCAGATCAAGCATATTTGGTTTGAAGCAACATCGTGGTAGGTACGCGGTGACGAAGCGTGCATCCATACCCCTTGCGGGGTCTCCGGTCGAGACTGCTTCCCACCCGCGCGCTTGGGCCGAGACGCCTTGAGTGTCTGCACGATGGTTTGTTTTGTGAGTTTTTTCTTGGGGCTAACCATAAAGCGATGGGAACGGGAGGATCCGCGCGCGAAATCGTTCTCACCCCGCCCTCGGGGCCCTCCGATCGCCATGAAAATGAGGGATATTTTTAGTCTCTTTTGCGCAACCCTTTTGCGCAACCCCATGATCCAAGTATTGGAAGGAACGGTCGGCCGTCGGTGATCGGTCCTGCGGGAACATTGCTCCGTCCTCTTGGAACACACGTGGTCTAACAACTAAAGGCATGCAAAACACGAGTACCCCCCGCTCCCTCCCTGCGCCACCACGATCCACACTATATTTAAAATCCGATCAATAACAATCCGACCGAACAACAGGTGATCATCCTGTCCGCAGTGAGATCCAACCGCGGCGGACGGGTAGGCTTCCTCGCAGACTGGCGGCGGCTGAACGTGGCGATAACCCGGGCGCGGCGCGGGGTGGTGGTCGTCGGGGACCCGGACACCCTGAAGAGGGACCGACACTGGCGCGCGTTCCTGCAGTGGTGCGAGCGCCGCGGGGCCGCGATGGGGGAGGCGTCGCTGTACGTTGCCGGAGGGGGCGGGGAGCGCGAAGAATGAGGCGGAGGTGGAGGAGGGACGGGGGCACCGTGCTTGGACAGAAGGGCGGGGGGGGGGGGGATCGGGTGCGAAAAATAATGTGAAGGTGGAGGAGGGACGGCGGCTGGGACCCCGTGGCTTGGAAGAAGGGGGGGGGGGGGAGGGCCCAAGAAAAAAACCCCCGAAAACGGGGGGGGCTTTTGTTTGAGGGGCCGAAAAAACCCCCCAAAAAGGTTATGTGGCCTGGGGGAAACCCAGGGAAAAAACCCCGGAAACCGGGGGGGGATTTTTTTCAAGGGGACGCAAAACCCCCGAAAAAAAGGGGACCCCGGCCCCAGGGGGGCGTTGGGTTTGGGAAAAACCCCCCTGGGAAAAAAGCGGGTTTGGAAACTCTTTTTCCCCTTTTCCTCCAAAATTTCTCCCTTGGGAAAGGTTCCCCCATTCCCTTTCCCGGCCCCCAGGG